GCAGCACCCGCCGTCGCCCTGTCGCGCCTTGCCAGAGCGTCGGCCCGCCCGCCGCCTCCTCACCTTGCTCCGGCCACGTCCCGCGCGAGCACCGCCCGCACCCGGTCTGGGAATGGAGCAGAATGAACGCGTCCGGGACAAAAAATGGGGATGCTCGCGCGTGTTGGGATGTTGCATGTGTCCTATTTATCCCCAAAGGACGCGGACGGACAGGATGGGGTGTAGCGTTGGATTTGGCCTGAAGGTTTTATAATATCTTATCATTATATTTATTCTATGTTGTATTATTATTTGAATTCTAGCTCTAATTTATTACTTAATATGATCACATGACATATTTCATGACAAAAGTAGCTGTCATTTAGTGGACTCGAAACTGAATGATGATAATGTAAGAAATCGACACTGACCCCACGGATTGTATGATTCTGGATAGACTCCCTAAGAATTTACCTACATCGAACACATCATCAAAACTTGAGCGCAATCGTTTCTTCTTTCACCATCTTGTGCACCAACATGCTTGATGATGTCCCTTTGTTGTAGTAAGCCGCATTTTTTCAGATCATTTTGTGCTCTAGCTAATATAATCTTGTGTTATTAAAATTGACATAACTGCGATTTCACAGGAGTGAATGGGGAAAAGCTATAATCATTATCATATTAGTTTAAGTTTGAGACAAATAAGGAACAAAGTAAAGAATGATGAATACATGGATGCTGACTGCTTTAATATTGTTGTGCGTATATTAGCATAGGACAACGTATAATTTGTTGGAGACATTCCAGTTCAGTACATGGTTTCTAATTTCATGCACTCATGGTGCGATGGTGGGCTATATTTTCCATTACACGGGGTGATTATTTACACCATAGTCATTTCTATATAGGTTGCACATGGTATTTTTTTTAAATGACAATGACGTAGAATGCATATGTAGGATTATATTCGACTGAGGAGGCAAATTTAGGACATGTTTTGAAGTAAGGGAATGAAGGTCTAAACAATATCTCAGCCATGGAACGAAGCATTCAGATTGCATCAATACATGAAACTTTAAGAGAGAATCATCGTCAAACAAAATATAGTAGATATTGTTTCTTAGTTGTTTTTTCTAAATATTTTTGTAACTAATTATAATACATTTATGTGACTGTGAATTTTATGTGAAGACATGTGTTCGGATTCACATCGTGGGCACGAGACACATTTAAATGGTTTGGCAAAGAACTCGCCATAAAATAAATAAGATAAAAAATATATTTTATTATAGATTATGATACGTGCACGTGCACACTTACTAGTATCTAGTAATAATTAATAATGGGTGAATTGCAAAAAACCACCACATTTGGGGCTTCATCTGTGGAAAACCATCAGGTCGCTAATCATTTGCAAAAATCACCGCGCATTCAGTAAACCTTTTGCAAAAAGCACTGAACAGGTGATTTAGCCCATTTAATCACTTTCTGACATGTGGGGCCGGAATGTAAGAAGCTGATTTGGCAACAAATTGACATATACCTCCCTGGATCTTAAAAAAAGCAATCAAGCCCCTCCTC